AAAAATTAAAGGGAAAGGAAACAACAGGGATGTTATAGTGGGAGTCTATTATAGACCCCCAAGTCAGACTGAGCAATTGGATGATGCCTTTCTAGAACAGATGACCACAAACTCGGAAAGGAGAGATGTAGTAGTGATGGGTGACTTCAACTATCCTGATATTTGCTTGAAGTCAAACTCAGCCAATACTGCAAGGTCTAGCAAATTCCTCACTTTGACTTGAAGACAATTTCTTTGTCCAAAAGGTGGAAGAGGCAACAAGGGGATCAGCTATTTTAGATCTGATCCTAACCAACAGGGATGACCTGGTCAATGGGGTGCAAGTGGTGGGCTCCTTAGGTGGGAGTGATCATATTTCCCTGGAGTTTCTTATACAGTGGAAAGGAGAAGCCAGGCATAGTCAAATACTCATTCTAGACGTTATGAGAACTGATTTCAACAAACCTTAGCGAAATACTGGGAGTGATTCCATGGTCAGAATACTAAAGGAGAAGGGAATTCAGGATGGATAGGAGTTTCTCAAAAGGGAAATACTGAAGGCACAATCTCAAAACTGTTTTAATGAGAAGGAAAAATGGGAGATGTCTCAAGAAACCAGGTTGGATGACAAAAGAACTTTCAACTGAACTAAGTTTTAAATGGGAGATGCATAAGAAATGGGAAAGGTGCGAAATCACTAAAGATGAATTCAAATAAATAGCTAGCATATGTAGGGGTAAGGTCAGGAAAGCCAAAGCACAGAATGAGTTCAGACTTGCTAGAGGGGTAAAGAACAATAAAAAGGGCTTTTTGGGGTAGCAAAAGAAAGAAGAAGGAAATGGTAGGGCCACTACTCAGAGAAAATGGGGAAATTCTAACGGGACAGAGAAAAGTCAGAACTACTCAACACCTTCTTTGCATCAGTCTTCTCACAAAAGGAAAAGGGTGTTCAGCCTGAGGAATATGGAGCAAAGGACAAAATAGGGGAATTGAAGCACAGAATAAGTAAAGAGGAAGTACAGGAATAAAGAACTGGCAAATGTAATCTCAGAGCCACTGGCAATAATATTTAAGAACTCCTGGAGAACAGGAGAAGTCACAGCAGACTGGAAGAGAGCAAACATTGTCCCCATCCTCAAATAGAGGAAAAAAGAGGATCCCAACAACTATTGCCCAGTTAGTCTG